CCCCGCTCAATGTTACCAGATGCTACTTACAGGCTTCAACTGAACAATTTAAATCTAAACTGGGTTTCCAGGCTTCACGCAGAATTGAAAGATCTGGGTTTTGAAAACATTTTCGAGGCACAAGATGCAGATTTGACGGGTGTATGGATGTACACCATAATCAATACCCTAATGTCCAATAATCATAGAATGGATATGTTGCAGGCTTCACGTTCCTTCTCCTGTCCACTGTACCTCTGGCTGCTGAATGGTCTTCCAAACGCGACAGAATATTTGTCCTACAATATTAGTCTCAGCCAATTGGGCCTCATCAGTCAGTGTAGGGTCATCAGTGACACCTACCCAAGGCTAATTTAGGGTGGAAAGATACTCAAACTAGTTACTACATCCGCTTGCTCACTCTGCGGGATAGCTGAACTGGACAGTGTTGACCATTTTTGGACTGGCTGTATTGCTCTGGAACTTCTGAGAGAAAAGTTCCTTTTTGTTCACCAACACGCCACGCAAATTTTAACAATTACTTCACATCAGTGTGCGCTTGATCTTTTCAATTATGTTTCTAAAGCCATTGCCTTGAAAACCTGTTAGAGTATAATGTATGTTAAATACAAATACGCGAAGTAGTTCAATTTTAACTTTTCAAAACTGTTGTTTTATGTGATTATAATTTCACTGCAAAATGATTGTAAGTATCTTTTTTCTCATAGCATACTTCAATGTTTTCATGTTTTTCTTATATTGAGCGGTGGCTCACCCCCCTTGTATAAGTGCAATAGCACAGATGCAATAAATTATTATTATTATATAATATAATGGTGGTAGAATAGAAACCGAAGGCTATAATCTCTCTAGAACGATTTTATATTTCGACACGAATGCGTCGGGTTTTTCACGATTGCGAAGTTGGAGGTCCGAGGCGAACCCAAGGGCTGCCAATTACGCGTGTAGAAATTTGAGCGGCGACTCAGCCGCAACTCCGCTAACGTATATGCCTCGCAGTCGCACGCTCTATAGTGTTAACACGGCGAGCCGGGCCGGAGCGGCGCGATTTCTACACGGGTACACGAGCTGAAAAATCCCCGTCGAACAAAAGTCGAACTATATTTTTTGTCAGTGATGTTACGTTCAAAGTGTGCATTTTTTCGTTTACTCGGAAACGAAAAGTTACTTTATGTCACTAGGCCCGAGAAACTGTGATTCTAACCTCGCTTAGCTCAGTTAGATTGTGGTTTTCGAGCCCAATGACATAAAATATTGTATATCAGCCAGAGGCGGCGGAACCATAGTGGAATTTATTGGTCACTCCATACCTCAAAACTTTGGAAAGTGTGGAATTCTACATCTCAACAAAATTGAAAGAAAAATAATTGTTCTACAATTTTATCAAAACTGAATTTTTTTTCAATGACCGACTGAATTAGATCTAGATAAAATTTTGGATGTATTTATCTCACGAAAGGAGAAAAAAGAGGCCTGTTTGCAATGTCACCTCCAAAGTCTGATATCCTAATTAATAAACAAAATAAGTGAAAAGTATTATTAAGTGTATGACTTAATTCTCGGTCCCTAGATTAAGTTGATTAGAACACCTATTTGAATTTTAAAAAATTCCGTTTTCAATTTTGGAAAAACTGCTGCAGAAGCACAAGAAAAGATTGGTTCGACCTTGGGAGAGAGTGCTGTATTTTATAGCACATGTAAAAAGGGGTTTAAAAAATTTCAGGATGGAAATTTTTATCTCCAGTATAAAGAACGTTCTGTGCAACCAAAAAAGTTGAGGACGAGGAGTTGAACAACCTACTCAATGAAAATTCCTGTCAAACACAACAGAAGCTTGCTGATACTCTCAGAGTGACTCAATCAGCTATTTCGAGGCGTTTAAAAAGATTTGGGAGGATACAGAAAGGTCGTTGGGTACCCCACCATCTTACCTCAGAAAACAAAAGTCGACGCTGTGAAATTGTCATGTGCCTACTGACCAGATTCAAACAAAAAGACATTTTACATAAAATTTTGACTCGGGATGAAAAGTGGATATTTTACGACAATCCTAAGAGATGAAAGTCGTGGGTTCATCCAGGGGAGCCGTCAACGAGTATTGCAAAACCGAACATTCACGGGAAAAAAATTGTTGTATATTTAGTGGGATTCCAAAGGTGTAATCTATTATGAGATACTCGAACAAGAGGAAACCATCACTGCTAAGCGTTATCAGGACCAACTGGTGAAATTGAGTGATGCTATTGAGGAAAAGAGACCTTTGACTGGTAGTGGTACGAGGCTAGTAATTTTGCTGCAGGACAACGCGCGGCCACACACAGCAAAAGAAACCCTCAAAGTTATCTCCACGTTGGACTGGGAAATTCTCCTACATGCGGCGTATTATCCAGACCTTGCGCCTTCTATCGCCTTTTTCGGGCCCTACAACATCATCTGGTGGATACCCAGTTCCAATCTCCTGAAGAAGTCCGGCAGAGCATTGGTGACTTATCCAGTGAAAACCACCATCTGCTTTCCGAGCCGGAATCCGACAATTGCCCGATAGGTGGGAGAAATGCGTGCAAAGTGACGATGATTATTTTCAAGATTAGATCTGTATTCATTTTTTGATAAATAAATGTGAAAATTGTCGAAAAAAGGCTGAGAATCAAGTCATACACCTAATACAATGTTTTGAAATAATTAGGGGGAACCAGAGAAAATAAGACCATTTGAGCTTTCTGATGATCCCGCCCGTCTATCCCGGTTGACCCTCATGACCTTTGTAATTACAGAAAAATTTACTCCACACCTCAAATTTTCACGTTCCGCCACCCCTGTATGTCACACGGCGAGAATAGTATATTTCAGAACGTGTGGGGCAATATCGTCTTTAACGTGTATGGGGTTTACAGCATGAGCCGAAGGCGAGTGATGTAACCACACACGTTAAGGACGAAATTTCCCAACAAGTACTGAACAAAATTTTATGTCACGAAGCCTGAAACCGGCTGAATTAGACACGAGACGCGAAGCGTCGAGTGTGTAATCCAGCCGGTTTCAGGCATGAGTGGCATAAAAGTATTATCCGACTCATGTGATCATAATCTTCGTCGTCGGCTCGGATTATAAAGTCACATTTGTCGGATAATTCTTTTATCGCCGTGTAACATACAATATTTTATGTCATTGGGCCTCGAAGCGAGGTTAGAATTGCAGTTTATCGGGCCTAGGGAAGGGTGTGCCTGTACCGCTCACCCGATTTTCTCCACAACCATCAACTTGAAAATTTCTTTCTATTCCTGATCATGAAGGATTTGATGATAGGATGTGATTGTCGGAAAAATTTCACTTTATTTACCACTTTAAATATGAGAAAACACGTAACGAAGTTTTGGGTCTTTACAGGGCAAAATTTGTGGACTTGTAATTAAGGTTTTTGATAGTTTCAAACTCTGAATTCTCATATTAAACTGTAGTTATTCGATTCGTGGTACTTTCACGCGTAATTTGAGGCCAATTCGAACTCAAAACTCCACTCATATCAATAACTATCAACAATTTTGTTGACACCGAGCGAAGCCGGTAATACCGCTCATAGGNTCTGAATTCTCATATTAAACTGTAGTTATTCGATTCGTGGTACTTTCACGCGTAATTTGAGGCCAATTCGAACTCAAAACTCCACTCATATCAATAACTATCAACAATTTTGTTGACACCGAGCGAAGCCGGTAATACCGCTCATAGGATCGGCCACGTAGGTTCTCGACAGCACTTGAGTACAGGTTAGGTTGCGGCGCGAGCGATACACGCAAAACCTCATGAGCGGCATTGGAATCGTGCCGAGCGGTATTACCCGACGGCGGGTAGTACCACTCAATAGGTTCTCTCTTTTATTTTCAATCAATTTCATGGATTCTAAGGAGAATTAGGCGTCTACACTTTGAGAATAACGAGTTCAATAGTTAAAGAAGTCTCACACATACGTTTTTTATACTCAAGTTGAAATATAAAATATATAACTGGCATTTCCCCTTAGGTGGGCGTTACAGGCACACCCTCCCCTAGTGTCATAAAATTGTTTTCATATTCCACTCCAAAGTTTGGAAACCTAGGTGCTTAATTCTTCAAAAGTATGCGTCAAACTCTTGAATAAGAAGTTACAACCCTAGCGGTTGATTCTTTCTTATTTCATAAACTGATTGCAATTTTTTCACGTGCTATGAGTGACAAATTTAGTAAATGATATACCTTGACTTATTTCTAACGACGTTAGATAGATTGATGGTGTGCGAGAAAATCGTCGAATAGTTAATGGGAAATTGATTTGATACAATGATAAAGAAATATTTTGTTGGCGGAATTGTTCACGATTCAATTTTTTCTCCAAGCCTACTACTCAAATATCTGCAAATTAGTCCATCCACAATATGCCGCTCGGATCTAGAGATATACTTCAAAAACTGAATTAGCAGCTAAGTTGACTCACAGTCTTTACTGCTTCGTGAATGATTTTTTTTTATGTCAGAGCTTGAATAAAATCAATACAATGATCAGAACAATGTGATTTCATCAATTTCCTCGTGGATTTAACGACTATTTTAATAATAATTTACATGTCTTTATTCTTTATTTATTGCCATATATACCCTATTCGAGTTTTTACATGTTTTGCGGTTTTGACTGACTGACTTCCTCTCCAACCATGTCGCGTTGTACCCCAGGAGATGTACCCCACGTACAGACTCTCCTGGTGACCAATGGAAACCATGGAAAACCTTGGTCGACACGGGCGTCCATCGACCGAGCTTCATCGGAGAATGTTTTCTTAACACTTCTCCGATGATTCTCGATGTCTAGACTTCCGTTCGACGGTTTCCGAAAGATTAAAAATCGCAATTGCCCCAAGTCGGACTCGAACCCGCGCGTCACGGGTCCCGCCGTCCAGCCGAGCGATTTAACTGCTTCGGCCACTGTCATCGCTATAATTCACATGTCTTTTATTCTTACTATTTAAGGACGACGGAACGGTCGACAACCTAATCAAAAATTGCAAGAAGTTCTGAAAAAGGCAGTGGAGGACGCACGTGCCATGATTTCTAAGGTATTCATTCAAAGCTTATCACATGCACGAGCGCACGGATTCAGGCTTGTAAGTATCTTTATTATTCATTCTAGAAATTAGTGCCTCAGTACAAGCTTGTGACCCTAGCCACCGTCCAAGACGCCCTGGATATTCTCCGCGGAGCAACAATGATTGTCTATCCAATGGGATTGCCACCCCACGAAGTCATTCGCCAGGAGTTTGAGAACACTGAGGACTTGACAGGAATGCAAGCATCTTTGGAGGTAATGTACAAGGTGTCTCTTCATTACTGCCTATGTATGTCCTGAGTAGAAATTTTCTCAGGTAGGCATTTGGACAGGGAAGGCCTTGCTCCGGTATCAATACGGTACGCTGTTAGAAATTTCTTGAAATTTCAGTCAGAGCTTCATCTGAATTCTCAATGTTGTGAGTTTGAATTTAATTTCAAATGAAAATTGGATTTTTCATGTCAAGCGATCATTAATATTTCAATTAAATCTTGAATTTTCAAACTCATTGTGAAAATTAAACATCAAATGTAACTGAATTTTCAACAGATTAAGAATTCAGGAAAGTTTTTTCCTGCTTTTTCCCTATTTTCAATATTTTTCAGTGCCGCATGGATGTGGAAATCAAGAATTACTTGCATATTCAAGAAATCAACTGATTCCTCTGTGAAGAAATATACAGAAATTTCATGTAATTTTGTGTTTTTTCGTGTAGAGTTCAAAACAGATGAGTGCGGACTTCAAGTCACGCTCTGGGTGATTTTTTTCCTTTTTTCTGAATCTGCCTGTTTTAGGACTGGCATTTATTCGTGTACTACTCATTTTTTGCGTAATTGATTAATTTACAATTATCAATTTATTTATTAGTAACAAAGTCTGTCAACCAGACAAGGGCAATTTGTAGTCCCCTGTCATGGTCCTTATCAGGTTTGGAAATCAGGTCCTGATCATGCTTTGCATCACATTTCCTATCAGGCCCTGATGGGGTAGCCTTGACACGATCGAATCTTTATTACTTACTTCTCCAAACTCGAGAAAATTCAATATGCGGCGATTAGACACTGTCTAGGTCTCACAAATTCTACGCCAGTGAATGTTCTCCTAGCAGAAAGCAAATTACCATACATTGAATTCCAATCCTCCTTTTTATGTAAAAGTTATCTAATGAAAATACTACCCAATAGAAGCCTCCAAATCTCGTCTACTATTTACAATCTATACATCAATTCTCACAATGAGTATTCTAAAAATCGACTCATCAAGAAATGTATCCATGAAATCACTCCACTGTTATCTAATCTTCATTGTGGCAATAATTTTAGTAACATAATGCCTAATTATGAAACACTGACTGTGTCAATACCTTTTGAAAGAGATGCAGTAAATCATCCTCTCAACCTCAATGATAATAACATGGGGGACAATCCCTCAAGAATTACTAATGTAAATGACTCCATCGAAATCTACGCAGACGGTAGCAAAACCTCGGATGGTCTCTCCACAGGTCTATCATGCCACTGCCCACAACTTAACATAAATCGCTCTTTCAGTATGGACATACGTGCTTCCGTATTTACAGCAGAATGTGTAGCTATCGATGAAGCCATGAAAATAGCCCTAAGTCATCCTCAGTACAAAATATCGATAATCAGTGATTCTTTAAGCGCTCTTCAATCTCTAAGTATCCCAAGCTCGAACGTCAAAACCAATTTCTACATCTTGGAAATTAAGAAAAATATGAATACATCCTTCAAGTTAACAAAAATTCAAATCCCCTTAAACTAACCTGGGTTCCATCACACACAGGCATACCAGGTAATGACAGAACCGATCAACTGGCCAAGGATGCTACATCCAGGATAGGTGATAACTCATATAAAGTTCCGTTTACTGATTTTCGCGAGAACTTCAAAAAAGGTTCTCTCGATCTCACATCCAGAGTCATCCAGGGACTAGCTGAGGGTGAATCCCCGAAAGGAGTCAATTATTTCGAATGGTTTTTCACCCTCGGAGGAAAACCCTGGTTTAGTAAAAAAAAGTTCTCGCGAAAGACCACCTCTTGGATTGGCAGAGCCAGGGCTGATCATTACCATCTTGCACAGTCCCTAGGCCGAGTGGGTATCACAGGCTTTCAGGAATGCGCGTGCGATACCTCTAAAGAAGACCTGAATCATGTCCTTTGGCAATGTCTATTATATCTTTCCAATAGAGAAATCATGACCAGACGCCTGAGATCCTGTGGCTCGTTCCCCCCGTACCATGTAAATGTTTTTCTTTCCATTCTAGATAAAGACCTGATACTCATCATAGATGAATTTCTAGATTCTTATAATCTAAGAGTTTGAAATTATGGTTTTTTCTTTTTTTTAACAAATACCTTAATGAGAAATGCATCGAGTCTAAACATCAGAAAAATATGTGATTATGTTTTTTAACCTAAACTAACCTCTATGCAAAACTTACTTTCTATATCTTTACATCTATTATACAAAATAATTGTATATTCACTGCAGAATAAGCCGTAAAGGTTTGAATGCTTACAATAAAAAAAAAAATCTTTATTACGGCACAGTGGACCAGGACCTGACCAGTCAAGTACTCAACTTTCTACTCGGGATCCGGATAAAATTTAAATCTTAGTTTTGGGGTTGTGTGTGCGTAAGCAAATATAATTTTGATCAACGATTATCTTCGAAGGAAAAGGCATTTACTTTTTTTACAGCAATTGTATTTTAAAATAACTTAAATCTGACTGAACTTTGATAAAATGGTCTCAGCGGTTATTCAGTTGTTCGGATAAAACTCCCAGAATTTGCCATTTTTTCTCATGAATTGGATTGGAAGTTATCTGTCCGATCCATAATGGGTTACATCCATTTCAACCTATCCCTATCAGGCGTATCCGAACCAGAAGCGAGCAAAGCGAGTGATCGGCGTCTGATTTTTTTTTCACGTATTTTTCCACTGTTTTAGATCATAGACGTTCAACTGGCAGAGCTCTGGTTCTCCGGCAAGCAGATGCTACCCGGTAAAAAAATCAAGGATTTTCTGGGCTCAAACGAGAAGACGAAAATTATTGTGAAGCTTCAAAAGAGGGGATCTGGTCGTCCAGGTCGCGAGCCGTTGATGTCCGAGGAGGATCGAAAACAGCTAATGCTTCAGGCTTATCGACGCGAGCAGGAGCTGAAGGTAAGTGAACTTTCCACAACTTTCTATCTTCTCCTCTGTTGGTAAATCGGCCACCTACAATACCCAATGTTGCTCAACGGAGACTACACCTCACTATTATTATTTGATGGTTAATGGCTCCGGCTATTCTGGACAGAGTCCATAGTCCATAGTCCATGGTATACTTAAAAATTTTCGGCTACAATAAATCAGTATATCGGTTGCATTATTGCGCTGTGCTCTGGATAATTATCCATGTCTAATTGCCCGAATTCGAATGGTTCCGTCGAGCATTCGGAATTGCGATGCAACTTGCAACGGCAATGCATCACGAATTGATGCTCCAATTCCCATCCTCTAAAGTGATTACTTCCAAAAACCTATTTCCTGATAATGAAGGAGAGGGAAATGTCAATGGCTATTGGAATAATTACGGAGTGGGATTTCATCCATCATTATCGTCATTCATTTCGTACTTCGTCCAGCTTTGGTTTAAGAGAATACCATGGAGGCACCAATACCCGAACGTAAAAGAATTTTCCAGTGATAAAATACATTTTCGTGTCACGGGACCTGAAAAACCGAAATTGGCGTTTTGCAGGTCCCTCGACACGAAAATTAATATACATACCTTGCCATGGAAAACATATCACCCTCCCGCACGTGCTTGCCATCCTCGCCTTCGGCTCGGAAGGCAATCTTGCAGGTGGGGGACGGTGATCTGTTTTCCAAGGCTCGGGCATGTAATGTACTATTTTGTCACTGCTGCTACGTTCAGACTGTGTCGAAAAGTGCCTTTTCGTTTAATAGTAAACGAAAAGTCTTTTCGTTTACAAGTTTCGAGTTTTCGTTTACTAGTAAACGAAAAATGGCACAGTTCGGCACTCGCTGATCACTAACAAAAGATATAGTTCGGATACACGTGCGACGGGGTATTTTAACTCGTGTGATTGGCAGCCCTTGGCTTCGCCTCGGGCCGCCAACTTCACACTTGTTACCACCCCGTCGCACTTGTATCGAAATATACTATTTTCTCATTATTCAGATGTAGAATCGCCAAAAAAAAATGAATTCTTTGTAAACCTCAATATTATTCGCGTAGAAAAAAAGCAATTTGATATAAAATTCATGCACCTGTGAATAATCGTAAAAGAAAATTGACGAGTGGGGCTAAACGCGAGTATCCGAACGGTCAAATAGCTCTTGAATCAGTACCCGAACGACCAAAGGTCCTAAAACCGAACGGTGCAATTTCTTGTGCTCGTATACTACGCTAAATCATTCTTACAACGTGTTGAGTTAATTCAAGCCTTTATTCAATTAGTTATATATTGTGAGGTATTTTTCCAATCACGTATGCGGGCGTCATACGTGTGGTCCTTCACGAACTTTGGTCGCCCTGAATAGAACCTCACCACCCGAAATAAGTACGAAGGTGATCAACGAGAGGAACCAATAAAAAAAATACCCAAAGGGCGCCAGTCATTTTAACCCTCAAAGGACAAGGTGACGATGTTGAAGCGCGTTCCACGAACAGCTCAGAAAACCTCTTAAAAATTGTTCAACTGAAAATAACATTTATAGATGAATCACGGACATTGCATAGTGATAAATTACAGCTCATTAATGTGAAACAAATGGAAAAAAATTGAAGGAAAAAATTTCCAAGTGGCAATTAATTTAGTGAGTTCAGACAAGTGTTAGAACTAAGTATGACATTTGATATTTAGTTAAAAAGTTCGATTACACTTTCAAGAGATTATTTCTGCATGATGGTACACTGACAATAATACTTTAAGATATACTAATTGAAGATTCGGTTGGCATGTTACTCAAGTAACTTTCTAATGAAAATTTTAGACTATCTTTTGTACAATCGGGTGATACTTCGCGCAATTTTTTAACAATTGACATTACTTGCTGTTTGCTGCTCTCATCTTTTATAAGTAAGTCATTATACTCGCTGATGAGAGCAGCGAGTATAATGACTTTCAGCAACATCGTTCGTCACATGCAAATGTCTTACACGTTCCAAGGCGATGGTGAAATCTCCTCTCGTCTCCCAAGTCGTCGGATCAGTGTCCAAAGAACTATGATCAATGTTTAGAATCTCGAAAAATTTCATTGCATTTGTAGTAACAAACGAGTCCAAACTCAACTCTTGAATTAATTTCCGATCTTTGATTCCTATTTTTCTCTTTTTCCTACCATCATCAAGAGGAGCACGCGATTTGATCGCCTGACACATGTTCCTTTTACACTCAGCACTCACGTTTGGATCAAAAAAACTAAAGCAATCAGTTCTTCTGATAAATACCAGAGGTGGTTCACTAACTTCTCAGATACCGCTTTACAAACTTTCGCGGAAATACAATTAGCACTACCAGAATTTGTCAATAAGTCTTTCACGAGAGCCCAATCATTGTTGGGAGCGGTTACTGCACTTGAAGCCGTGAACTAAACTCTCTGGTATAGGCGAACAATAAAAATGCAAACATCTCTTAAACCTGAACTTTCTTGGGATGTCAGGAAATTGGTCTCGAAACAAGAATATTTTCAGTGAATAAATCGCTTTAGATACCCACCTCGCATGATGAATCGGCCCAAGCGCTCGGAAACGATTCCCTTTCATCAAATTTCCACCCAGGAAAATTACGATCATTTCCAAGAACTCCCTGTAGTCGCTGCGGATATTCTTTTTCTGTAGATGAAAAAAATTAAAACCTTTAATCTTGATGTTTCCAAATCTCAATATAATAAAGATATCAATTATGAGTCAGTGACTTTCGTGGGACTAATTTGCTGTAACTAACCTCCAATTGTTCTTCAGCAAAAGCGAGGTCATCTGCCATATTATCATGCAGTGCTTCTTTTACTGCAATGTCGTTCACTCCGGGCGAAAATTTTCATTTTCTAATCTTGCCCCAGTGCACTTGAAATCGTTTGAAAATCAAAACGTCTGGCCCAGATGTACCTCCCATTGATGACTCGAGTGCTGTTTTCAAGACGAGTTCATACACATGATGACGACATGCTAAGTACACAAGATCCCTCCCAAGTAATTCCTCAAGCAGGATACAGGTACATGCATACAGGCGCATACATCATCAACGACGTCCCATTGCTTCAGGCAATGGTGAACGACTTTTGCTTGCAACTCCCCAGTTCCTCTTTCGAATCTGGGAACACCAAGCAATTGATTCCATCCATAGCCTGACACAAGGACTGGGAGGCGATCAATTTTTTCAAATTTGTTTTTAGGCACCAATAGTTGTTTGCCACGCCAGTACACTGTTAGGATATGAAATGGTCTATTTTTAAAATTATCCTTGATTTTGTGATCCAGCACCTAACGTTGTTTCCGTCGATTCCGACGAAGAGTTTTGGAGCTTAAATGGACCTCTTCCAGAGTTATGCCCACTGTCATTAAGGTTGCTGCCAATACCCGTGCGGCCATGCGATTACTAATTTTGGGCCTATCTGACACGGCAGTGATATATGGATTCACGATCTTCAGTTTTTTAGGTCTCGTGGGCATTGATGTCACTTCATAATCGCTGTCTATTTCTTTATCGTCTTCAAATTGCTTCACTACTTCATGAAGATCTTCGTAGTCATCGAAAACATAATTGCGATAATTTGCAGAAATGTCAGATAATTCAACTGAAATGTCAAATCAAAACGTATAAATGAGTTAGAGATTGGCGAAAACAATGGCAGAATTTATTAATTGAAACTGTTTTGCGATCGAAATAGCACTGAGTTTCTATGCAATACCCTTTTCCGCAGTGACTAAGAGCTCGAGAGGACTTTACGATTAGATTTTAAATTTCTATGGTCGAGTTATCCCAAATTGACGATGATTTTTCCGTATCGTGGCGTAATAATTTGTTATAGACGAATTTCGGCCTTTTTCAGTTTAAACTTTATTTTAGACAGGAACCGCAAAACAATTGAAAAATTATTCAAATGAAACTTATTGCTCTTGTTGTGCCCGATAAATACAATTTTGATTTTTCATGTTCGTTTGGTTAGATACCGAGATATTTATAAATTAGTGACCGCCTGTATAGAAATTCTCCCGCCACCATAGTTCCCACACAGCTAGAGCTGTAAAGCGCATATGCGCATCTATATTCCGCAGGATCTTTCGGCTCTTATGCTGATAAAATCATCACAGTCAAATTTGTAGAGGGTCAAATTCTTTACAAAATACTTGGTGAGGAGATTTTCCTATTATTAATAGTGTAGGCGTACGGGAAACGTTTGAAATAAAACGAGAAATCGATTCAAGAAGTTTGTGAACCCGCTTATGTTCACGTCCTACTTCAGTCGATGGAGTGGGGATTGCCGATCCTTACCTTATCCCAAACCGTAAGAGGGTTGGTGGTGAGGGTATGAGAAACCTACGTTAACGCACGAGCGTAAGAAAAGTCTTTGACAACTTAGAGGGTAAATGAAAAAAGCCGCTGGAAATTTCCGCAGAAAATTTTCTCGATAGCAAAAAAGAGGTCCCATGATGATTTTTTTCAATATTCCTCATTATCGAAATAATTCAATAAATACTAACAATAATATATAATATATATATGATTGTTGGCTAATTAGGTAACAATCTGAATATTGTGATGCTGAAAAAAATTATCATGAGATCTTTTTTGTAAGCCAGAAAATTTCTTGCCGAAAATAGTACATTAGAGTACAAGGGCACAAATTTCGTTTTCGATAAATGTGAAGTTTACAGGCCGAGCCGAAGGCGAGGTCTGTATTCACATTCATTGAAAACGAAGTTTACGCCCGAGTGGTCTATACTATTTTATACCACATCGTGCAGAAGTCGAGTCTGAAGCACTGCGATAAACTCGACTTATTGCACGGCGTGCCATAAAAACCTTTCATTACTAAGATAATCCAACTATCGGCCAAAAAATCAGGACCAATTGCTGGATTACCTCAGTTATGAGTGATTTTGAAAGAAATAATTGAGACAACTTTTCTATATAAAATGACCTACAAAAAGCCTTTTTACACTTTCCTTCCAAACCACCGGATAAGAATCCTTAATAATCGCGTGGCAGTAGAGCGAGAAAACCAACAGTTTCGGATATTCTTCATCCCAAAAGAAAAGGAATTCAATTGTCAAATTTCCTCCACCTCTTAGTGAGC